AAAAATACGAACCGAGTAGCACGCGAGCAAGCACTCGCGTGCATTCGCGCTTACATCGACACGTACGCACGTAACGAATTAACGTCAAGGCGAGTCGCAACTCGACGTTGATCAAACAACGCGTCGTTCATTAGATTTCGTTCAATTCAATCCAAATTGAATCGTGCGAATGCAAAGTCGATACAAGTCGAACGAGCGAGAACGTATCTCGCGGATAAACAAACGAGCGGACGCGTATCTTCGATCGGAATCGTCGAAAGTTTACAAAATAAATAAAAACGAGTGGAAAAATGTACGCTCGCGTCAGAGAACGTTGGAACGTTAGAACGCGTCCGATCCTCCGAGTCACGTAAAAAGCGACGTTTCGTGCTGTCGAAGGCCCAACGCCCATCACGTCATCGCTACTCATCGCTTCGTTCGCGCGTCTACAGCCTGTCGTACGTCATTACATCAAAGTCTCACCTCTCGTTGCGCGAGAGAAAGGTAAATAACACGTATCTTTCGAACGTACTTTATCGCGGCGAAAATGCAAAAAACATTCCGATTCCACGGTAAAAATGTTAGAAACGGTCGGTGCGTCGCGTCTACTCAAGGTAAACTACCAAAACAGTGTATATTCGGCGTTGGAGAGATAAATCATTCGAAATATATATTTACCTTATTTATTTCTATTGTACATTTCTATTGTACACACACGCACACGCACGCACTCGTCGTTCGATCTTCTTTGAGAAAAATGCAAAAGTATTTCTTCTTTTGCCCGTAGCACGCGCAATTTCTATTTGAAAATTCTTACGTAGAAAAACACACGCGGTACTCGGATACGTTTTCGTACGCGACTTACGCGCGCTGCTCAATTCCTATTTGTCGTCCGTTCCAGTCGAACGTCGAACGGAGAACTTTGCTCGACCGAGAACGTTGCTCGGTTGTCGGGAAAAAGTTTGGAAAGTTAATCTTGGCGGAATCTTGAATCTCGGAAGGAAGGGCGTGGTCGTACGTACACGTACGCAAGTAGTTGGCTAGTCGGTCGAGAGAGAATCGTCGCGACGCGTGTTAAAAGCACACCCTCGATCTACCTACGCACCCACCGTCACGTCCCGCCAGCCACCTTTTTCTCTATGCTAATTCGTAATTTTCTCGCGTTTCATCGACCTTCCCGTTGACGCGTCGAACCTTCCTTCTCTCGCACGTACAAAGCGCCAAATAAATACGCGCTCCACGAGTGCGAGGATTTTACACTTTTTCGTCGCTTTCGCCATTCTAACAATTGGCGATAATTTCGTAAAACGTCGTTGCAACGACGCGTTTCCAACGCTATCGCAGCAATTATCATTAAAATTCATCGCATCGTGCACGTACGCGGTACAAGCGAATCATACAAGATACAAACAACGCAAATAGCAAAGTGCGAAAAGGAAAGCGCGACGATTTCGTTTTCCAAAGGTCGAGCGAATCGGTCTATCGTTTCGCACAGCGTGTTGCGTCGCAGCGAATCAGACGGAAAGTACGTCGCGGTTGCCACTTGGTCGATACGAACGCCGATTAAAATCGCTGGCCGATTCAAAGCGTCAACGAGTAAACGGTAATTGTTCCCTTCAAACTCGTTAAAAGTTAGAAACTCCCTCGCTACTTTTATTTCTTATATCTCATCGTTCAACGACAAACAGGTATTACTAGGTCGATCAAACGCGACGACAACGACAACGACATCGACGTATCCACAACGGCCGAGATCTTTTTCGAAAATGTTTTTCTTAAAAAACAAAAAAAAAAAAAAAAAAAAAACTATCTATTAAGAAAAGAAGAGAGAAACGCAGATTCTCTCGTTCTGGAACAAGGAAATCGACGCAAGGTAAACGTTCAAAGGTCAATCTTCAAAAGAGATTTCTGTTTCATCTCGCTTAAAAAACTAGGAATTTCATCGCAAAGTTAAAGTTTAATTGCAATCGGTATACGCAGCGGCCGAGGGAGGAGTATCGACGAGCTTCTCAGACGAACGTACTCGTATCGCATCGAGCCTCGAGTCGATACGAATTATCACGCAACTATCAATCTCTTTCGTTCTTCCACAGCTAAACAACACAGCGGATAACGGAATCGACCGGATGACAAAAGATAAGTCGCAACGTCGGCTACCGATAAAAGCGGCTCTAAATCGAGCGGGAAGCTGACAACGAGCAGACCGAGCAGACCAACACCCATCGAATTTACGACAGATTTCCGTTTCTACGCCATGCGCAACAACGACAAGGGTAAATATAAATCGAGCGGACGATCGAGCGCATTCGTCGTTCGAACGTAGAACGAACGACTTTTCATTTTTTCACGTTCGAACGACGTAACGAACGAAACAGATGCCATTCGGTCGGAACAACCATCGGGAAGGAAATTATTCGCAATTACTCGCGTTCGAAATTTTACATTTCACGGTTGAAAACCGGCCAAACAAAAGACGGAAACTCGGTCGAAACAGATTATTCATCACGCTTGAACAATCATCGTTCAACATTATCGTTATTTGAAAAATTCATCATCGTCGGATGACGTTGCGTTAACAATCTCGAATCGGGCGACAATCGGGGAACAAGAACATCACAACAACGACGACGACGACGACGACAACGACAACGACAATGGCAACAACGAGTCGATCGAAAACCGAAAACTACGGCGAGAGAGATAACACGGAGGAGAGAACGGAGAGAAAAGGAACGACACGGACGATTCAAGGTACACAGCGGCAAAGCAGCACGCACTTTGGCGAACGCAGCATATATAACACACGATATATGATCGCAGACGGCTGGTAACACTCGCAGAGGACAAACTACGCAGGACGGATTCGTACATACTCGAATCAGATACTACGCAAAAAAGATGACAAATTCCGTCAATTTTCAAAGGAGAATCATCGCGTCGTTCGCTCGCGACTCTCATTCCACAGCAGTAGAAAAACTAGAAACAACAAACGAAACGAAACAATCAACAGTACGAACATTCGATCGCGCAATATATCACGTACCGTACCGATTACTCGGAATCAGTCGAATCAACTCGCATCTCGGCAACTGGTCGTAAAACGATAGAAACGCGTCTGTCAGCACTTTTGGCTGTTGGAAGAAATCACGCGACGATACAATCGCCAAGCTGGTAAACGGCAGCCTCGCCACACAGGTATCGCGAGCGGATACCCTTCCAACGAAAAATCCACCGTCAAAATTACAAATTACCGGCATCCCGAGTGTTTCAAATTATTCGATTTCCGGACGCGATAGAAAGAAACGCGCGATCGAACGGATCGAACAGAGTTCGGAAGAGGGATAATAAATATCCGTACGATCGAGACACACCGCGTCAGCGTATACACGTATAACGAAAATTACGTCGTTACTTTTTAGAGAACAAAGATACAATCGCCAGGCACAGACCGATCAAAGTCACGACTATCGGAGACGGTACCGTGGGCAAAACATGCATGCTCATCACGTACACGACGAACGAGTTCCCCTCGGAATACGTACCTACCGTGTGAGTATCAAAGAATTTGACTTTACACGTTAAAGAGA